TGCCTCAGCCTCCCGAGTAGCTGAGACTACAGGCATGCGCCACCATGCCCAGCTAATTTTTTCTATATATTTTTAGTTGTCCAATTAATTTCTTTCTAATTTTAGTAGAGACAGGGTCTCACTCTTGCTCAGGCTGGTTTCGAACTCCTGAGCTCAAACAATCCGCCCACCTTGGCCTCCCAGAGAGCTAGGATTACAGGCATGAGCCACCGCGCCCGGCCCCTTTGTACTATTCTTTCAACTTTTCTGTAGGTCCGAAATTATGCTAATATAAACAGTTGAAAAGGAAAACAAAAACACTAAGTCAGACACAGCAAATCACCCTGGACTAACAAGTTCCGGAGCCCTGATACCAGTCACCTGACAGAGGGATGAGCTTTTGTCTGAAACCTAACTTTGATCATAACTATGAGCATTTGTAAATGGAAAGACCCCAGAGGAGCTTCTATAGTGGTATCAGTGTGGAGTGTTAGCTGGGAAGGCTGGGTGGATGTTTTGGGGGCCTTTATGTAGGTGCCAGGAGCCCATGCCAGGAGCACCCCGTGGGCACCCAGTAACAGCTGGGCCCAGTCCCAGGGTGGCGTGAGGGACATACAGGCTCAGGACAAGAGAGACCCAGGCTTTTTGTGACCCTCTTACCATGTGACCTGGCCATGTCCTCCCTTTGGCCACAAGTGGAGGAGGTCAGGGCCCGGGGCACAGGCCAAGCCCCTGGAGGAGGTGGCTGAGTGCCTGTGCCCAGCACCCTGCCTGAAGCCTGTGACTGTCTCTGGGATAGCTCAGAAACAGGGCTTATGGCCCTCAGGTGGCAAGGGGCTGGACAGATGGTCCCGAGTGGCCCTCTCCATGGGCAGGAAAGGCAGAAGTGACAACGCCTTGAGGTCTCCCCGGCTGCTGGTCTCTGTACTGCAGCAGGCGCCTGCCAGTCTGTGTTCTCCTTCCACTGGGACTCAGCTCTCCTGCCCCGGGTTGCTGGGGACCTCGCCCTTCCAAACCCCCTGCTAAGCACAGCTCCCACTCCAGCCCTGACTCCTGACAGCTTTCCAGTATCTTCCAGAGAATTCCAATCATAGATCTGGCCACTGTTTCTTGAACATGTCAACCCTGTACAAGTGCTTTAACCCACATTATCTGGCTTAATCCTGGTGGCTCAGGAAGCAGGGATGACCACACAAGCCAGGAGGCTCACTGAGGCACAATGCCAGCCCCCAAGATGGGGATCCCACCACCTGAGGGGCTCAGACCTTCCTCTTCTCTCTCCTGACCACAGCCTGGCCCAGGCCCAGTGAGCAGAGCAGGTGTTCCCGGTTCTCCGTGTTTGTCCGATGAAGCCCAATGCCAGTGAGTCCCGGGCTGTCGTCACTGCCCAGGCTGCCCAGTACCTAGGTGTCCCCAAACTCATCTCATCCTCCTTGTGTCCTCTCTATAGGCAGTGAAGTGGGGTGAGGCTGGGAGGCTTCTGGGGGAGCGAGGCGTGTACCAGGAGCTGCTGGGCAGCCCAAGGCTGAGGAGGTTCCAGTTTAGGCCCAGTCTGGGCATCGCCCTCCGAGGCTCTCAGGGAGGCAGCAGGGCGAGCAGGGACTGTGGGGCTGCTCGGGTGCGGTGAGCACCACACGCCCAGGACCTGGGAGGTATCTCAGCGGCTCCGCAGGCCCAGCAGTCCTCCCTCAGTGTATTTGCTGTTGTGCAGAGTTGGGGCCTTGGCCCCCTGGTCTGAGCAGGTGTCCACCAGCCAAGCTCAGGAGGTGGATGTGTACACTGAGAAAACCTGGGGAAGCCACCTCAGGATGGAGCAGGAGGCAACAGGATGTCACCGGGCTCTGATGGGACACTCTGCTCTGGTGGTCTTGACTTTAAGCCCAGAGGCCGGGGCGCCCATGGTCCTCTGGACAGTGCCGGGGTGGGGGCTATGGCTGTGATGGCCACTGGGCCTCTCCTTTTGGGAGGTACCCTTTAGCCTGAGGTCCTCGATGGCTATTAATGCGGCGTGAATTCTGCAGCCGGCTGGTGGGAGCCATTCTGCCTCTGTAAGGCAGGGATGGGCTCTGAGCACCTCCGAAGGGTCCACAGTGGGTTTAAGGCCCTCAGAGTGTGTGCAGAGGTGTGTGTGCGCACGTGCAAGCACATGAGTGTGTGTTCCAGTGAAGGGCAGTGGTCGACAATGCTCATCACTTGCTAAGAGCAGTCTGTGACACCCCAGTGGGCTCTGTTTCCCTGTGACACTGCCCCTTGTCACTCACCTAATGTGGTAGCGGCTACATTTTGAAGGCTCCATCCAGGCTAGCTCATCGAGAGCTGAGTAGTTAACTTTCAGGGCACCCCAGAATTCTTTCTCCCCAGGCCCTGGGGACCATGTGCCCAAGCACGTCCCACAGCCTCCCCACGCCTGGCCTGTGTTTACATGTGGAGTCCCTGGGAACGCTGGCCTGATGGAGGCTCAAGGGTCTAACTCCACCTACCCCCCCAGACAGTGACTCATGGGGGAGGGGCAGGAATCCTGGGGGAGGAGGGTGGCTCCTCCAGTTGCCATTAAATGGTGATGATCCCACTTGACATTTCTTGCATGCTGGCCCCGTACCAGCCCCTGTGCTGAATCTTTATGCTCCGTATCTCACATCACCCTTAAAGATAGTGGCGACAGTGGTTAGCCCTGCCATTCTACCGGAAGGGGAACTGAGGCAGAGTCCCACGGCTCACAGCAGCCTCTCTGGGTCCTGGGCCTTTGTTGTTAACTCCTCCCTGTACTTCTGGGACACGGGAGTCTCTGAAGGGCACCTGTCAAGCCTGATGATTTCTGGGCCGAGCCTAGACTAAGGGACCCAAACTCTGGGAAGAGGCCTAGGAGCCAGCATTCCAGCAGGCACAATCCCTGTTTCTAGGGTCCTAGCAAGTTCCTGGTGAAATAACTGCCAGGTAAGGAGCTGACTGCAGGATGTGGGGGCAGGGAAGGCACCCCCTGCTGGGTTGCATGGGGACAGTCTAGGGGAGCAGGAGGCTGGGGCCAAGCACTCTGGGCTCTTCCCTCGGTTCCCTCTATCCCTGTCTGTCCCCGCTTGGTAGAGTGAAGGGACAGGGAAACATGTGAATGGCTAAGGGGGAGGGTATTGGGGCTGAGTGAACATAGTGAGGAAAGGGGGACCAGGGAGGTGGGGAGCGGGGGGTCCAACACCAAGCTAGACTTAGGTGTGTTCTTTTTCAGAAGGAAGTGGGGACCCCACGCCAGGGTTTCCAGCAGAGAAGTGACGTTGTTGGGGGCTCAGGAAGGAGAATGCAGATTCCCTCAGCAGGCCCGGGAGGGGAGAGCACCGGGACCCAGGGACTGGAGGAGGACGGGAGTGAGGGGCAGCCGAGCCTGGGAGCTTGCTGAGGCTTCAATCCTGGGCGGAAGGCGAGGGGTGGCGCCCGGGGGATGAGCTCCTTCGGCGCCGGTTGACTTCAATGGGTGGTGGGACGTCCTTGGAGGTATGTGAAGTGTGAAGCGGGAGGAGATGGGGGTCAGAGGGACACCGAGACAAGGGGTTAGGCTAAAAGTCAGCACGAAGGAGGGCGGGTACAGCGTGCGAGCCCCAGGTCACTCGGACTTCACCTCTGCGACTCTGAGGCGCAGTTTTCTCATCTGTACAATGGGTTGTTGTGAGGGTTCCGTGAGATAAAGGTGCTCCTGGAAGCGCCACATCAAACCACCGCCGTCGTCTGGCTGGGTGCGGGGATCCGAGGTGAGCGAGGCCGGCGGGCTGCGGGGCCGGCGCTGCCCCCTGGCGGCGTTCCCGGCCCGCGACAGGCGGGGACGGGGCGGGCTGCTGGGGCCGGCCGCCGTCAGTCCGTCGGTCGCCTGGCTCCTGGCGCTCCGTCCGCTGGGCCGTCGGTCGGTGGGCGACGCCGCCGCGGGGACTCGCGGGTTGCAGACAGCATGGTGGGTGAGCGCGATGCGGGCGCGGGCAAGGGCGCGGCGGGAAGAGGGCGCGGGCAGGGAGGACCCCGGGCGGGAGGGGTCCGCCCGTCGGGGCGCCCCCCGGGGGCCTCGCAGCGTCCCGGACCGCGTCTGTCCTTATGCTCCCGCGCGGTGACCCTTGCTCAGAGAAGGGCGCCTCCCTGGAACCGGGGCCTGCGCGTTCGCAGCTCCTCCCCGGGGCTCCCGCACCGGGCGCTGGGGGCGAGCGTGGGCAGGAGGAAAGTCAGGGGAGCTCGATAGAGGGGAGGGAGCCCCAGAACTGGCAGTGCCAAGGGCGCCAAATATTTAGACTTTGGACACTGCAGGTGTCAGAAAACAGAAGCAAGAACCAACTTTTGGATCAAGCGTGTCTAGTGTTAGCCTTTTCCCTCCCTCACCGGATGCCCCCGGCGATCGGCCAGCGCGGCAAGCGGGTGACAGCCATGCCCTGCGGCGTGCCAGGCAGCCCCCCACCTACATACCTTTCGTGGATTAAACTCCCTGGATCCCCCAATAAGGAAACAGCCTTACAGTGTTTACCTCATCAAAGGTCACACAGCCCGGAACCTGGGAGGCTGGATTTGAATCCAGGCATTTGCTTCCAAAGCCTTTGCCCTTAAAGACATGATGTCCCACATCGTGCCCATTTTACAGATGCCCAAACTGAGCGCCTCTCCTCACATCCATGTCTGGGAAGGGCAGACCCCCAGGGGGAGGCTGCTGATGGCAAAGCCTATGCTCCAGAGGACCCGTCCTTTCTTCAACGGTTTCAATAGGTCATGAAATTTAAAATCGAGGTCCAACATTTGGTCATTTTTAAGATGTACATTTCTACATCTCCGAAATTGTAATGTACCTTACAATGGATGGAAGAGGATTTTTCTTTCTCAGTGGTACATAAAATAAGTCATTTTTGGTCGGTGGCACCTTCGGTTTGGTGAGTTAGGACAGGGCCTGGATTCCCTGAATGACTTCCTGGGTATCTCACCCCTCTGTTCCACAGACTCCTCTCTGCCTCAATTGCTCCGTCCTCCCAGAAGACCCGTCGCCAGGGGGCGCAAGGAGCCCCATGCCCTGCAATGTCAGTGTAGCCAGGGCGGGCTTCGACCCTGAGGACTTGAACCTGACGGACGAGGCGCTGAGACTCAAGTACCTGGGGCCCCAGCGGACAGAGCTGTTCCTGCCCATCTGTGCCACTTACCTGCTGATCTTCGTGGTGGGCGCTGCGGGCAACGGACTGACCTGCACGGTCATCCTGCGCCACAAGGCCATGCGCACGCCCACCAACTACTACCTCCTCAGCCTGGCCGTGTCGGACCTGCTGGTGCTGCTGGTGGGCCTGCCGCTGGAGCTCTACGAGATGTGGCACAACTACCCCTTCCTGCTGGGCACCGGCGGCTGCTACTTCCGCACGCTGCTTTTCGAGACGGTCTGCCTGGCCTCGGTGCTCAACGTCACCGCCCTGAGCGTGGAGCGCTACATAGCCGTCGTGCACCCGCTCCAGGCCAGGTCCGTGGTGACACGGGCCCACGTGCGCCGGGTGCTTGCGGGGGTCTGGGGGCTAGCTGTGCTCTGCTCTCTGCCTAACACCAGCCTGCACGGAATCCAGCAGCTGCACGTGCCCTGCCGGGGCACGGTGCCCGACTCGGCAGTGTGCACGCTGGTCCGCCCACGGGCCCTCTACAACCTGGTGGTGCAGACCACTGCGCTGCTCTTCTTCTGCCTGCCCATGGCCACCATCAGCGTGCTGTACCTGCGCATCGGGCTGCGGCTGCGGCGGGAGAGGCTGCTGCTGCTCAGGCAGGAGGCCAAGGGCAGGGGTGCTGCCGTCGCCAGGTCCAGCCACACCCGCAGGCTCCAGTTGCCAGATAGGGGCCGGAGACAGGTGACCAAGATGCTGTGTAAGTGTCCCTGCTGGGAAGAGGGGCTGAGCCAGGCACTGGGCATGAGGCTGGGGCTCCCAGGCCTAGGGGAAGGGGCTGAGTGTCTGAGTTAGGGAGGGTGAGTGTGTGGTTTGGAGGAACGCCCCTAGCCCATGTGTGTGAGTGTGAGTGTGTCCACGTATATGCCTGTGTACTCTTTAGATTACCCTGCTAGACACTTAGACCAAAGATACACATTAAGGGCTCAAGGTAGGAGTGATTTGTGGAGTCCAGCACAAAATAAAAATTCTGTGTCCTTGTTCAAAAATTGTTAAGAATGTCAAGACAGCAACAGTAGAGCACTAAACTGAGTCTGGGCCCTTTCTAAGCTGGGGCCCTGTGCAGATGCACAGGTTGCACACCCACAAAGCCAGCCCTGCCTCCTGGAACCAAAACACAGAAAGGGCAGGGTCATGTGGATGCGTGTGGGTGGGCTCCAGGCTGATACAAATAGGGATGATGAGCCTGCAGGTCTCTCATCTTGGTTCCTATACATGCCTCGGCAGCCTGTGAGGCATGGCCATTGGCACGTGCTCCTCTGTCCTGAGGAACTGCCCCCTTCCCTTAGTGGCTATTGTAAAGTCCCAGGGAAGAGTTCTGATTGGTGGGGCTTAGGTCATAGCTGAGCCCCCAAGCCAGAGTGGCAGGTGGGATGCTAAGGTACCACATAGCCCCTGTGGAACCACACAGTGGGATCTGGGGGGAGCAAAGCCCCCAAAAGAGGGGAGGCAGATCCTAGAGGGGCAGGATGCTGAGTCTCCACTGTGCTTTGTCTGCAGTTCTCTGGGAACCACAGGAGTGAGCGTTTGTCTAAAAAGGCTCATCAGGAGGTGTGTTTGTGAGGGCTGTCGTGCAGAGCACAGAAAAATCTGGCCAGAAGTGTGGACTGGGGCAGTCCAGGGCTAGCCTGGCTGGGTTGCCTCCCAGCTCCACACTGTGAGGTCTGCACTATGTATCAACTGCCCCCGCTTGGTCCCCTTGGGCTCCTACCACTGCACCCCTTCCCCAGAACATGTGCAGAGTCTGCAGCAGGTGCTCAGCTGGGACGGCTCCCCCTGGAAGGTGGGCTTTTTGCTTGCTGCCCTGTTCTCCCTCCTTCCCTCATGCTCACTTTCCCAGGGCCTGCTGTGCACAAGGCCATGTGCTTGGGATGCTGTAAGCAGCATCCTGTTTGAAATATGGGATTATGAGGAAAACCATGCTAAGGTTTGATGAGGAAGACACGGTCCTGGGAAAACTAACGTGTCAGAGAAGCAAGAAAAGCAAGAAACAAGAAACAAAAATCAAGGCCAGCCCAGTGGCTAAGACCCAAGGAAGGGCAATGGCTGGGTCCCACCAGGGCAGGAAAGAATTTGGGAGAAACAGTGAAGACTTGGCCAGCCTGTGCTACATTTTGCTGGGGTGGTGGAGGGGAGATGTCAAGAAAAGTAGAAGAAATGGACTGCCTGGGTGATTGTTAAAAAAATGTTTTTTAAAAAGAAAAGGGTTAGTCAGTGCAGGGCAAGATATTCAGCTGGGCCTTGGGGAGCTGGGCCTGGAGCTGGGAAGGCCCGGGGCCCAGGCAGACCCATGCGTATGTGGTGTATGTGAGCACAGGTGCACATGTGTGTGTGTGTGTCGCTCTCTGGCCCCACAACCTTGCTGTCTGCTGCTCTCTGAGCACATGCCCCATTCTCCTGCCTCTCTGCCTGGTGCATCAGCAAGCATGGCCCCCAGTGGGCACCCAGAGTGGCCCTTGTCCCCGCCTGTCTTACCCACTAGTTCAGCAGCCACAGCCAAGAGTTACCAATTCCAAATGAGAGAAGCTGATTGCACCAGCTGGGCTCAGGTGTACACACTTGGTCTAATCAGCTGTGGCCAGAGGCAGGGACATGACCCACTGCCCAGTCAGTGACAGTGGGGAGGGCAGCCTCTCTGAAAGCGGTATGGCCAGAACAGGCAGATTTCTGGAAACTTCCAGCTGGGCAATGGGTGTGGCTGGCCTGTGGGTTAGGAGAGAAGGTGAGACTGGCGACCAAACTGAAGCCCAGGAGGGCTGCTGAGAGGGCTTCTTCTCTGCCCCTGCAGTTGTGCTGGTTGTGGTGTTTGGCATCTGCTGGGCCCCATTCCATGCTGACCGCCTCATGTGGAGCTTGGTGTCCCACTGGACAGACGGCCTGCTCCTGGCCTTCCAGTACGTGCACGTCGTCTCCGGTGTCTTCTTCTACATCAGCTCGGCCGCCAACCCTGTGCTCTACAGCCTCATGTCCAGCCGCTTCCGAGGCACCTTCCAGGAAGCCCTGTGCCTGGGGACACGGTGCTGCCACCACAGACCCCGCCACAGCTCCTACAGCCTCAGCAGGGTGACCACAGGCAGCACCCTGTGTGACTTGGGCTCCCCGAGCAGCAGGGCCCACCCCCTGGCTGAGAACGGTGGCCCAGAGGGACAGTGAGAGACTGACCCCTCCTGAGTGGAGCCTCAAAGCGGCTTCACCTGGGGGGGCCGGAGGACCACGCGGGGTCTGAGGAGACACAGCTGCCTTCCTCTGCAGGGATGTCCTCATGTCCTGTCCCCTTGTGTGTCCTGTCCCCAATTCGGCCTACAATCTCTGACCAGCACCTCAGTGACTCCTGGCCCCACCCATGTATTTGAGATTTGAGGGAAACAGCAAGAGAAAGGATCGGTCCCTGATCACTGAGGACCCACATTCGCGCCGGGCACTATATCATGGGCTTTTGATCCCTGCAGACCCCCAGACCCCAGTCCAAGTTTTTCCCCTACAGAAGCATCGCGGTTAGCTGGGCTCAGCAGTCATCCTTCTGGGGACCACCCCCTGCCAATTTCTGAAACGTTTCCACGGGGCCCCAGCTTTCTTCTCCTTTCTTATGGAGCTTCTGCAGGTTCTGGCAGGGGTGCCCAGGGATCCAGGGCACCTGGTTCCAATCTCAGCCCTGTTGCCACCACCTTGCATCCAGCAAATCTGCCCACCTTTCTAGGCCTTGGTTCCTTGCTTGCAAAATGAAAGCAACCGACTTCTACAGTGTCACACTTTGGCATTTGTGGTTTTCTGTGTGTGTGCATAAGTCACTGCTTGTGATGAAACCAACTGATAGCCTCAGATTGACAGGGCGGAAATTATTCTCTGCATCCTGTCACCCTAACCGCTACTTCCTCCCTGACCTCCACACAACCCCCAGAACCTTGCCTGTTCTTTCCTTGTCCTAGAGCAGGCGGGTGGGGCCAGTGTGGGAGCACCCTCCCCGGCTCACCTACACACAGTCTGGGGGCCCAGTGAGCAGAGCATTGGACCTTGCTGGCCAGAGGATCTCTGGGGACAAAAGAGACAAGGGCAGCCTAGGGCAAGGCCCTGTGTGGGCCTCGTAGGGACAGTTCTGCTAGGCTCGATGAAGTGAGAAAAGGGACAGGGATGAGTAACTCCTTCAAACTAGGTCTCATCCCAGATCCCTGTGGACCAAATCAGTGCTCAGTCAGGACTGAATCAATAGGTTCCCCTACCAGGAGCTGGGGGAGGGGGAAGTGGGGAGATGTTTAGTGCATGCAGTTTCAGTTTTGCAAGATGAAAAAGTTCTGGAGATCTGTCGCACAGCAATGTGATAAAACTTAATAATACTGAACTGTATACTTAAATGGTTAAGATGGTAAATTGCATGTTATATGTATTTTAGTATGATTTTTTAAAGAGGATTAAGTCTAAAGGAAAAGAAAAAAAACTAAAACCTCTGCTGAGGTAACCACTGTATACATTTTGGCATGTTTCCTTCCAATAATATTTTATATGGTTGTGCTCATGGTTTATACACAATTTCATATCTGGCCTGTTCCCAGCAAATGTTCTATCCAAGTTCAAGGTTGTGCTCAGTTTACTTTCTGGCTCCTCTCTGATGGCCTTGGCCAGCCCTGGGTGAGTCCCCTGGGCCTTGCACAAGCCACAGCGGGGTGAGTTCCCAGATGCTGGCCCAGGAAGGCCCTGATTCCTCCTGCCTACTGAGCTCAGAAGGGGCTGGCGAAGTCCCTGGCTGTCAGGGAAAGAGGAGCCCTCCTACCTGCAGGGCCGGCTGTTGGAGGAGCTCGAGACTAGTAGGCCCCAAAGAAGGGGAGCACGGGGGCTTTGGGACAGAGAGCAGTACAGGCTGGGGTGGGGAGTCGGGGGACACTGTGGACAATGGGAGACCTGGGGACCTCATGGAGGCCAGAGCTTGGATCAGGGAGCTGAAGGGGAGGCTGGCTGCGGGAAGGGGGCTTCCTCAGTGGGTGGCGCTGGGCCTGTCCTGACTGAAAGTGCACAGTCTGAGCCCCAGGTGGGCCTTGGGGAGGGGAGGGACAGGAGCGGTTCTGCAGAGAAAGGGGCCCATGAAAAGAGGCTGTGCAGAGCTGTGAGTGCCTGGGGGTGGCCCCTGAGATGAGTTCCCAGGGAGCCCTGGGGTGGGGCAGGGGAAGCCACCAGACCCCAAACTCCAGGTTGGACCCTGAAGTCGGTCCCAAAGACCAACTCTGAACTCCCGGAGGCCTCTCTTCAGTGACAGTAGGAAGTGACTTACGCTCTTGAGGTGCTTTGGGCAGCGTGTATTTACGAAAGGCCTGCTATGTGCGGGCGGTGCTGGGGAGACTAGTGGGTGGGTGTGAACTGGAAGGGTGCTCCTTAGTGTGAACATGATATGTCTCAGAGTGTCTCCACGGCTTGTCATCGGACAGGTCCCATTTGTCACAGGTCACCAGTTACCACAGAAAATGGCAACAGCAGCTCTGAGCTCAGCCCTTGAGAAAAAGGGATGGAAATGGAAAGTCAGCAGCAAGACCCAGCTGGGGCTCCCCATCGCTGCCCGTCAAGGACCTGCTGACAGCCCCGAAGCTGCAGCCCTGCCCCCCGCCCACTTAGGAGGTGTCGCTCGCCTTCTGCACTGGCCACGCTGGGGCTGCATTCTCCTGGGAACCCAGAGCTAGTCACAGGCCAGGTACCAGTTCCTGATGGCTCTGGCAGTCTAGAGACCTTCCTTCACCTGGCTCTGGGCCCCTTGGTCGCATCCTCACTCCCAGTGTCTCCGGAGTTTTTTCATTTCTGAAAGTGTGAACTCTTGCCCACGATGGCCTCGTTCCTGCTCTGTTACTCTGTTGCTCCCATGACAGATTTATTCTTTAACCTCATCTGCACTTCTGGGCTCTAGACTGCTCTTTCTCCCAATCCATCAGCCTCCTCTGAGCTTCACTGTCCATCACATCCACACCTTTCTGCCAGTATTCCTAAAGGCCAGAGTGAAGATACTGGAATAATCCTTTCCTTTTCAGAAAGAGGCTTAATTTCTTTGGAAATTCAAAGTCCAGGATTAGTCTCATCAACAAACGAGGCTGCATCTGCCCACCCTTCCTCTGTCAAGTGTTGACTCAGGGAAGGTGGAGTGTGTAGCACTTTACGTTCTCCGCATAGTCAGATGGTATTTCCAAATCAATCCCGACATCAGGGAAACCATCTCATGTTTGTATACTTCTCAGGGTCTCCCTGCTTTCCCTATTCTTGTCATCTAATGGATCTATCTAGTTTTCTTTATTCCAAGATTTCCAGAGAGGAGTTGCCTTTTGGGGAGGGGGCATACCCTAGCCTTTGAACTCCTTTCCCATCGTGCAGAATCCCTCGCTATGTGACTTGGTGGGAGGCCAAGCCCAGGTTCCCGTTACAGAAGCTGAAGGAGTTCTGGATTCTCTCCACTGCTGCCGCCCACCATGTGGCACATGACAAACCCAGCCAGCTGCATGACCCAACACGGGACTTGTATCTGCAGAAAGTGACACTAAGACACACAACAATAGCGACAGGTGTGTCTAGGGGCAGCATTCTACCCAGTCTTTCTTGGATTCTGTCCTTTTTCTCAGCCAGTTTTGCCAGCCTTCCTGTTGATATTCTGCGAAACTGAGAGCTTTTCAACAAATTCCTTTTCTGCTTGAGCTGGCTGGAGTCATTTGCAACCAAGAACCTTAACAGATCCATCTGTCCACTGGTTTGAAGGTTACATATTGTTTGTTCTTCTAGTGGTTACATGTCTCTAAGATGAGCAGATAATATCATTCATTTTTTTAAAACCCCAAACTATAATCTATAATACTTGATGATTGTTTTTTCTTTGTCTTTCTCTCTCACTGTTTCTAAAAGGCAGAAAAAATGAGGACAGATTTATGGAATGTGATCCTAGAAACAGCCTTACACATTTCTAACAGTCTAAACCTCTTCAGCACAAGAAAAGAACTTCAATGTGCTTCCACTGACGAAGCCGCAGAGCGGAGACGTGGTGAGCAAGGTCTCCAGAGTCAGGCTGCCGGGCGTGGTTCCAGGCTTAGCTGCTCACTAACTGTCCTTGTAAATCAGAATGGCCTGAGGCCAAAGTCAGACTGGACTGAGAGGTACTGACATTTCTAAAGAAAGAATGTGCAATACACCTGCACACAAATAAGAGACTCAGGCAAACACTGACAGTCAGCAGCATCCTTCCAAATAGTGTCCACGTTTCTAAAGCTACAAGGTTTAGTCTGAGGATGGTAGTGACTCTCTAAGGCACTGTCCCTTGTGTAGCCTGTTTAAGGCAACAGCCCAACCTCACACTCTTTCACGCTTCTGCACAGGGCAAGGCAGGAACAGAGGCCAAGGCCCAGGTGGGGGACGGTGGGGATTCAGGGAAGGCTGAACCTGGCTAGGGAAGTGTGTCCTGGTTCAGAAGAGGTAGCCATGGGCTGGGATTAGATTGGAGGGTCTGAAAGCTATAGCCAAGTTCCATGGAACATGTACAAGAGTTTCTGGGATCTTTTAATCTAATATTCAAGCCCCTTGATTAGCTCTGAGCAATGTGGACATCATTCAGCTAACATCTATTGAGCACCAACCATGTGCCGGGCACTGTACAAGGCTAGGGTGGTGGGGAGGAGCAGATACACATACTGGCATGTAAGTGCCCCGACAGCCAGAACTCGAGCACAGAAAAGAGGCACCTGTGTCAGGAGAGGGAAGATTTCCAGGAGGAGGCAGTGCTGCTCAAGACTCATAAAGTCCCAGGGGAGGGGTCCGGTTGGCCTCGGAGCTTTGGCTGGGACAAGTGGAGCATCTTTAATGGCAGTTCCACTAAAACTGAATCCAGGGGAGGAGCGAGGAGACCCTGAAGGGAATGAGGGCTGTCAGGAGACAGAATGAACACCGGGCAGGCACACATGAAAGCAAAGCCCACCATGGTCCACTTTCATTACTGCCATCCTCCGGGCTTCCTCCGCTGCTCCTCCTGGAACTTGCATTGAGAACCTTCCTCCAGTCCTCCTCCCCGTCTGTCTCACCTCCGCTAGACATGCTCAGACAGGATTTCTTTTGTTTCCATTTTAGGAAATTTGAAACAAATGAAAAGTACAAAAAACGAAAATAATTGTGTCTATTCCCAGCACCCAAATTAACCTCTGTTA